TGGCCCATTTTCAAGATATTTTACTTTGTCTGATTCGATTTCCAAATCGTTTTCAGTGGTCAAAATTTTGCTTTCACAAAATTAAAATTATTAATTTCAGACAAAGTGGTTTGCCTGAAACAAATGTTTCTGCTGTGCACAGTTTAAAGGACCACTATAGTGCCAGGAAAACATACTCGTTTTCCTGGCACTATAGTGCCCTGAGGGTGCCCCCAGCCTCTAGCGGCTGTCAAGAGACACTGGAGGCTGGATTAACTTATTTATAAACCTAGCAGTTTCTCTGAAACTGCTAGGTTTATAAAAAAATGGGTTAACCCTAGCTGGACCAGGCACCCAGACCACTTCATTAAGCTGAAGTGGTCTGGGTGCCTAGAGTGGTCCTTTAATGGCAAAGTTGGAGGACAATTTATCCTTATTAGTACAACTGAGAAACTATAGGTATATATCATCTGGAATCATTTTTATAGGGCTAATGGCTCAAGACTATTACTGAAATTGGAGTGCCCATTTTTGTCAACTGATGTATAAATGTGAAAACATGAACTAGGCTAAAAGAAAGAAAGTCCTACTGCACAAAAACTCGTTCAATATTATAACCCAGAGGTTCTCGAGTCACGTCCCAATGCACACTAACACTCCAGGATTTATGCTTTCTCTATTGTGTTCCACTGGGGATACTGAGAAAAAAATTGATTCGCCCAAAGGGTTGATTCGGTTTCTTTTCAAGCTATTTAGGTTTCATCTGTGTGGTATTTCGGTTTGGATGAATTTCGTCCACACGATAGTTTCAGGAAAATTATGTAAACATATATAAAAGGCAAGAAAATTGGCCAATCAGGGTACTGCAAAATGTAAATTTTATGTATATACGTTTTCAGCACAATGACAGGTACATATTCGCCCCAATTCGCTCACAGATCAAGGTGGAAGAAGTATCCAACAGAGGGGTAAAATCTAGAATTTTATACTATATAGTTATGATATATTATAATATATAAATATAAGAAATGTGTACCGCTCCTCCTTTTTTTCCCTCTATTTTTCACTGATCTGTGAATAAAATCAACATTTAACGGCTGTTCCCTAGACATCCATCATTTTTTCCCCCCCATCAACTATGTTTTTTATTTTTAATGCCATGGACGGAACTCCATATCACAAAACAAACAAACTGACTTGTTTATTCCTTGTTTCATATGTTTTTTATGATTTGTCTCTATAGCATTTCAATTTTGGGATCTCAGTCAAACCAAATATCGCCCAAAATTTGGACAAATAGTAATTCACTTGAAACCAAAAGCACTAGTCTACTGATAAGACCTGGACTATTGGCGTGCCTTGAACACTGTTTGCGAACCACTGTAGTGAAAAAATATTGCCTGGTACTCCAGCAGGAAAGCTAAATAGGGTGAAAGTGAAAATGTCAGGATATTTAAAGTGTAAAATTGCAGGATATTTAAAGTGTAATTTCTTTATTTAAAGCCAAAATGTAAAACATATATATGTAAGGCGTTGGCCTGTAGTTGTGGGAGGGGCTTGAATTCCCTTTAAAAGGGCCGCCAATCCTCTCCCACCTTACCGTGGACAGTCTGTCGAATCACTTCTGACTGGACTTCCAGTTTCCTGAGTGGTTGCAGCTATTCCAGAGTGGTTGCAGCACAGCAGCTCCTCCTGACAGCTGGCGTTCCTCCTTCACGGCGGTTTGCGATGGATGGTGAGTAAGCAGGTCATTGTACCGGCCTGCAGACCACACACAGCCTGACCCGCCGGGGTCCTTGGCTGCGGGACAGGGGCATCGGGGGATCACAGTGTTCCCTGCCGAGGGGCCTTACTCTTGAGCTACCAGTCCCCTCTCCCCTCCCCTCTCGATAGGTGCCGGTTCCCTGCTTAGGTGGATCCGGCTCCTGGGACAAACCTACTCACACCACCGCGAGCAAGGGGGGCCCGGTACCTTAATCGGCTTCACCGGCCCTCCCTGCATTCAGGAGCTGGGTCATTGTGCATACGGATCCGGCTCCGGCTACTCCCCCTGCCCACTACTTCATCGGCTTCAGCTGCAGCGCCGTTCGAGCGGCAGGGGAGTCAAATAGATCAGTGTCTATGTTATTTAAGTAACTGTCAGCAGGGTCCCCGGCACCGGAAATGTATTTCACCACACATAACAAACCCCCTCCCCACGCAGCACACGGGGGTCGGGGGGGGGGGCCTGCAGGGTGGAAGGTCGGCTACACACCACCACGAGTTAACTAGACAGTGTGGTCCGGTTGTTCACTGGGCACATGGATTTCACACAGTAAGGGTGTTGGAAATACATGGACAATGGATGTTTTTAATAAGCACACGTGGGTCTGGGGGGGGGCCTGCAGGGTGGAAGGTCGGCTACACACCACCACGAGTTAACTAGACAGTGTGGTCCGGTTGTTCACTGGGTACATGGATTTCACACAGTAAGGGTGTTGGAAATACATGGACAATGGATGTTTTTAATAAGCACACGTGGGTCTGGGGGGGGGCCTGCAGGGTGGAAGGTCGGCTACACACCACCACGAGTTAACTAGACAGTGTGGTCTGGTTGTTCACTGGGTACATGGATTTCACACAGTAAGGGTATTGGAAATACATGGACAATGTATGTTTTTAATAAGGCAGATTGATGGGATAATTTAAACATTTTAAGCAGAACTTTTCAAGAGTGGGAGAATATTGTCTGTAACTATGGTCATCTATAAAACTGAACTAAATTGAGGGTCCACTTTACACACTTTTGAAACACTGAATTCATAGAATATCATTAGAAATGAACACATTTCCTCCCATTGTTATCACAATGATCCTTTGTACTGCATTCGAAGGCTACTATTGGATAGCTGGTAAAAGCGGGACCATCTTTGTCAATTTCAATTTACATACTACCCAGGTCTTCTGCAGGCTTCCCTCCCTCCTCCCCTCCCCCCCCATCCATATATAGGGGCACGAAGGGGAGACTCACCAGCGGTTCCCTGGGCGGCTGGCTATCACTCGCGGGGGGCGGAGTTTTACATCGGTTCACAGGCCATCATGTGGACACATTTGCATGGTTTTATATATAAATCTGTCAACTTACATGCATTGATTAGTCCTATATAAACGCACACGGGTTTATATAGAGGCATCTTGGCATTACCTACTTTAACGGTCGCACTTTCCTTTGATAGGAGGCCGGACGCTAAGAGTTACCTGGGAGATACCAAGTTACTCTGTGGGAGGTTTTCCGACCCGCCCACCGTGCTTAGTCCTCTCACCAGCCTCTCTCCATAGGAGGCCTCGGTCCATCAGCTGGTTAATTACTTTATCTGTTAGCTAACATTTGTTATGATGTTCCCACATGTTCATTGCAGGATGTTATGCTTCTGTTTTGTGACGTCATTGTTCAATTACTTGGCCTTATTGGGTTGATGTGGTTTTGGGTGGTACTCATTGAAAGTTATTTTAATGGGCATTGACGTCTCGCTTTCTTTAGGTGCCTTGGTCATGCAGGTCGGTTGCTGTACGTACACTGCAATTCCGTCACCTACCTCTGTTATATATTCATTGCGCATCTGTAGGTTCTGGTAGGTTTTCCGTTAACTGTTTAGGTCCACAATCTGGGCCACTCACATATTCCGTACGCACAGATACTCCCCTTATTGGTTTACTGGGCTGCAGCACGTATCTACTACCACCCTCTCGTTCCAATTTTTCCAGTTTATAATCTCATCCTGACTCGAACTTTATCAGGCACGTTTTCACGTCCCTGTTCCTTCTATTTAGAGTAGTACTGGCTTTTGAGATGTAGGATACCCAACTAGGTTTCTGTTTCTGGTGTCAATCCATACGTTAGTGGTCCCGCGAGGCCAACACCCATCCTCATACTCGGAGGTATACGCCCCTCGGCCCAATTCATAGGTAGCCGCCTCGCATTGTTGCATAGGGAGGGCCTCCCATGTCACTCCCATTCTATCTTATGCTTTAGTTGCCACCGAGAGGCCGACACCCCGCCACAACGTTTCGGTGGCCTAAAAAATCCCCTCGGGCCAACTCATAGTTAGCGCCTCTCACGCCCCTTGGCAATTAGTAGGGACTCATCTGTCACGTTGAGTTAGCTTAATTCTTCGCCGCTTGGCTTCTAGCTAGCCTGCCAGTACCGAGTCCCTTCGTCTTACTTATATTGATTGAGTTACATGTATATTTTCTATTATGTATCAAGTTCCGGAGGGACTGGTGGTTCTAGTTCAGGTAGGTTGTTGCACGTTTTGTTCTCTTTATTCCTGGGATCATTCCATGTGTACGAATTATGTTTTCCTATATCCTCGCCACACGGGCATCAACATCACATTATTGGTTACACTTTTACAATGCCATCCCTCACGTCATTTGGGTTAAATTTATCAGCAAAGGCTGACTCAAGAGTTCAACATGGGTTTTGTACATTTTGACAACTGGGACACTAGAATGAAATAGATTGCAACCACTTTGACAGACCAAGAGTGTGTACAGTTATAAGGACAGACCTAGTTCATGGGTCCCCTCATTTTCACATTGGGGAGAACCAACCCCATAGGGGGGTCGCGGGGAACACTTCACTTAAACCCAGACCATTCATACACTTATCCACTATTCCCAGTCTTCATTCCCTCATACCATCTGATGAACTTTCCTTACAATATGCCGCTATCAACTATGACATTTGGGCCATCCTGGTGACTGTTACAGGCGCTTGACTCTAAAACACTGACATTGTCAATGTTTTAACTTGCTTTCCATTCACCCGTCACTATGGCATCTGCACTGCATTTCAGTGGCAGGAGCTTTATAATTTCTCACGACTCACTTTTAGCTCCTAGAGCAGCCCCAGCATCTGTGCTACTTGGCTGGTTCTTCGTGTTGGTTATGGCTTAATATGTACGGATGTCCGCCCGTTGTTTCTACCTGGACAATTTTCCCCATAGTGGAGAACGAGGCACTCTCCCCTAGCAGCCTTACACACATGTTGGCTTTTGAGTCCCTGTCTCCCCTCACAGAACCTTAGGTCTTGATAGCGCCACACAATTTTGGGGATCCTGCTAGACTCAATCCACATACAAGCTAGCCTTCCCCAGGACATAGATTGAACACCCTATCATGCTTTTGAACTATATTTGCAACTAGGTCTTGCAACCGCGAGGAACTTCAATTACTGCTGGGGTCACTCAATTTTACCATGAGAATCATCCCACAGGGTAGATCCTTCTTTTCCCGGTTATTACTCTTTATTCCCACGAATCTCTACAGACGTATCAAGTTAGGCACTCATGCTACCTCTGATTTACTTATGTGGTGCTCTCCTCAAATACTGGAGAGGATGAGCCATGGTTATTCCCCCCCTCTGACATTTCACCAGCCATTTGAACAGATGCCGTGGCAAACTCTAGTTTTGTGGCCAGCGGTGGGGATAAATGGCATTGGGGGGTCATGGCCCACAGACGTTAAGTCCCGGCACAGCTTCTCCTCTACTTTGGCCTTGTTTGAATGATATCTGATCGTGACAGCTGCTATTGCCTAGGGACCAATATGGTCCGGTCACTCAGTCGGATGTTATTCACATACGCTTAGCCACATTGTGCATTTCGGCCGATCTTCATCTCTGGTCCTCAGGAGACTGTTGAGGGAACTCGCATAGGTAGCCACTTGCTAATCTTATCACAAATATTCACATGCTGGGTTTCACAAACATCTCAACTGTCCACTACAGTGGGTTTTCATTTTCAGGCTTACGCTGCCCTCCTCTGCCAGGCTGGCGGACCTGCCCCGCCATTCCAAGACATGCTCATGGATTAACTGTCGTGTTTAACCTTGGCACGTCACGTTTCTCACCTAACACTTTCAGTCTACAGCAGATATTATTCATAAGAGGGTTCACATATTTTCACTAAGGCTATAGTGGGGTTTCTAGTTCTTGACATGTTTGCTATGGAATCTATTGGTGGGTTCACTTCTTTTTGCCACCTTAACTTAAATTAACATTTAACGCACTTAAACGGTACCTTATGGATTGCCAACACCACATGCTCCTACGACACCCCAATAATACAGGGTTCCTTTCATCTTATCTGATAAAGACCTACTGAAAGGAATTAAAAATTCAAGACTCACGTACCTTCTCAAGGCTACCCATCCATACGGTACATTTCATTCACTATCCGACTTAGTAGATTCAGCTCATTTTGAGCACATGACCAATACGACAATAAAACGGCCATACATCTAGCATGCATGGGTTCTTACGTCCCGACGAATTTACCTCTAAGAATATAACTACCACTGAATACCTGGGAACGACTGATAGCCAGACACCTTAAGATCATTAGATCCTATCTCTGCATTAGTCTATAGCTATCCCTATAGCACATACGGTAACAATACCCCTATTACCTACTCTAAACAATGGTGCCCGGTAAAGTTCGGGATACTTGTTGCACCACTTTCCAGATACAACCACTCCAACCATTATCAGAATTCATGGCTCCATTCTTACAGCATCTTAACCCCTTAAGACCGGAGGGCGTACTATTACGTCCTCTAATAGGCGGCTCTAAACGCCGCCGGGCGTAATAGTACGCCCTCCGGTCTTTCTGTACTTACCCGGTCGCCGGCGGTCCCACGCCGGTGATCGCGGTGGGGGGGACTCCCAGGGAGCCCCCCGCGGCACGACCGTCCTCCAGGAAGCCCCCCGGCCGTGTGAGAGTGGGGTCCTAGCGAGGACCCCACAATCACATGGCCGGGGATAGCTGGCTTCTGTATTGCCAGCAGGGGGGCTGCCTGTAATGACAGGTGGTCCCCCTGCTGGCTGAAAATAAAAATGAAATAAATAAATAGTGTAAAAAAATAAATATTATATACTTAGATCATATATATATATTATATATATATGATCAAAGTATATATATACACATATACATACACACATGTACACCGTCTAGGTGTATTTTACTATTAATATATATATAATTATATATATATATTAATATCAAATTACACGTACACTGATACTGATTAAATATATATATAATTATTGTTATATATATATTTATATATATTATAAAAAAAATTAAAATGTAAATACGTTAAAAAATAAAATTACAAAAATAATTAAAAATAAATAATTAAAAAATATATAGATGTGTGTTATTTCGTTCTAACTGTATTGTGAAATTAATATATATATATATATATATCAAAATACACATAGAACGAAATAATATATATATTTATACACATAAATATATACGTATATATCACTATATATATACCTATATATAAATAAAAATATTTTTTAAAAATTATATAGATATATACATATATGTACACATACGTATATATATACATATATTGATTCTACATATATATTTATGTAATATTTTTACATAATTAGGTATCTTAATTAATTACAATTAGCAGGACCTGCATGACAACCCATGCCGAAAGTAAAGGGAATTTAATTTGCTAGCATTATATTTAACCCTATAACTTTCCGAGACACCATAAAACCTGTACATGGGGGGTACTGTTCTACTCGGGAGACTTCGCTGAACACAAATATTAGTGTTTCAAAACAGTAAAATGTATTACAACGATGATATCGCCAGTAAAAGTGACGTTTTTGCATTTTTCACGCACAAACAGCATTAAACGGACAATATTATTGCTATGATACTTTTTACTGTTTTGAAACACAAATATTTATGTTCAGTGAAGTCTCCCGAGTACAACAGTACCCCTCATGTACAGGTTTTATGGTGTTTTCAAAAGTTACAGCGTCAAATATAAGGCTTGTGTTTCATTTTTTTCACATTAAAATTTGCCATATTGGTTACGTTGCCTTTGAGACCCTATGGTAGCCCAAGAATGAAAATTACCCCTATGATGGCATACCATTTGCAGTAGTAGACAACCCAAGGTATTGCAAACGGGGTATGTCCAGTCTTTTTTAGTAGCCACTTAGTCACAAACACTGGCCAAAATTGGCGTTTTTTGCATTTTCACACACAAACAAATACTAACGCTAACTTTGGCCAGTGTTTGTGACCAAATGGCTACTAAAAAAGACTGGACATACCCCATTTGCAATACCTTGGGTTGTCTACTATTGCAAATGGTATGCCATTATGGGTATAAATTTCATTCCCGGGCTACTATACAGTCTCAAAGGCAACGTAACCAATCTGGCGAATTTCAATTTCAAATGTAACGTGCTATATTTGACCCTGTAGCTTCCCAAAACGCCATAAAACCTGTACATAGGGGGTACTGTTTTACACGTGAGACTTTGCTGAATACAAATATGTGTATTTTATTGCAGTAAAAGCAAACAGTATTATGACACTGACCGTTTAATTGTCATGTAGAACTAAAAAATCCAATAAAATCGTATTTTCTCCCATTTTTTTCATATTAAATTATGTTTCATAGCTAAATATTTGATATTAAATGAAAGCCCTGTTTCCCCTGAATAAAATGATATATAATAAGGGTGGGTGCATTTACTATGAAAGAGGTGTATTACGGTTGGACAGACATGTAGCGCAAATGCCAGGTTTTGTTTACATTTTGTTTTGTTCACAACGTGTACATTTGGCTCCGTCCTTAAGGGGTTAAGTCATGCGTAATGTTCACTTACTATTAACTAGGTTCAGCCTAATACAAACATTTCATCAGGACACTCCTACCACATAGGGGCAGCATCCTCAGCTTCCTCCAACCACATTCCAGCTCATATCATCAGGGCTATGGGACGCTGGAAATTCTCTGCCTATACTCTTTACATTCCGAACCCAGTTAAAGAGTTAATATAAGCTTTTCTTGACTTGTCTGAATAAACAATGGTTGTTATATGATTAATTTTGTATGGTATTCTTCTTTTTGCCCACTTTTATTACAGGCCTACTGCTCTGTCGGTTATGGCACACCACAACCGACTGGTGTCATTTGAATATGTCTATTGGTTATAATATGCTATATTACACTATTATCATGGCTAAATTGCCCCGACTACAAATATATATATATATATATATATATATATATATATATATATATATAATTATAATAAATAAGGACCAGCGCTTATTGTAGAGAATTAAAATCAATACATTGAATAACGAATATATACAAGTTAGCTGCTAAACATTCATGTGGTGCTTCCAACACCTCAAATGAAAGAACACTAAAAAAACAGAAAAGAATGTAGCGCTTATACAGTTCAATTTCCACTTATATAATAGTCTCTGAGGGGTATGTTCAGCATTGGTAACCAAGTACCTAAAAATAAAAAATAATCGCATATAGTGTAGATGGTATATTATTAAAAAATCTCTGATGTAGAAATATAAGAATAAACTCACAAACAGAGAGCTGTAAACTCAGCTCTAGTTGGTATCGCTTTTGGATCCGTTTAGGCGATCCTCCCCTTATCCGAATTTTTCTCAGCTTGATCCGTATGGGTAGTTTTTCCTTCTCCTTGGTTGATTGTAGTTATTTATCCTAGGAAGAGGGCAAAAACACGGACGATTGCGCAGCACAATTCAGATTCCTTTATAAGGTAATAAGAAATTCCCAAATGGGTACTTACAAGCCTGGAGTCAAATATCTTGACTCAATTTTCACGTATTGTGCAGTATGGGACTGCACTCCCATCAAGCAAAGGCAGGTAAATTAGGTAACTTCAGGAATCCAAGTAGTCTAAGAATTAATTTTATTGTAACACAAAATGGCATAAAGTCTATTAGTAAAATGAAAGAACATCAATGTGTTAAATTTACAAAATACCAGAACGCGTTTCGCCACTACACTGTGGCTTTTTCAACTGGGCAAATTCATACAATGTTACTATTCTTCGGATACTGTTTAAATATCCTGTTCTTTGGCGGTAAAAAGTCCGTGTTGGCGCCGTAACACGCTGTCGCCACCCACAGGCGGAGCGTGTGCGGGTCAAGCCTCGATTTACACACACATAACCGGCAGAGAAAAAAGTCTTTTCATATTGTGACATAATTCTTTTCATGTTGTTATGTACTTCAGCGGACACACTTCACATTTATGGACGGCAACCTTAATCTCCTCGTGAACTTACCGCCAAACATTTATCAAAAATCGTTACAACTATGTCATCTTATTTCTCTCTTATTCAAAACATTCCTAATTGTTCTCCATACACATATTAATTT